TCTGGTGGCTGCTGGCAATCCTTGGCATTCCTTGTCTTGCAGATGCATCACTCCAATCTCTGCCTCCATCGTCACAGGACTTCCCCTCTGTGTCTCTGTGTCTTCTCCTTTTCTGTCTTTTATAAGGACAGTCATCATTGGATTTAGGGCCCACTCTAGTCCAGGATGATCTCACTTCAAGATCTTTACCATAATTACATCTGCAAAGACTCATTCCAAATAAGGTCACATTCTGAGGTTCTGGGTGGACATATCTTTTGGGGCCACAAGTCAACCCACCACAGGGATGGTTGGTCATTTTTGTGCTTTGGACAATGTACATGTTTTGTCTGTGTTCAGACATGATAACAGAGTGGTCCTGTTTGTCTTGATCCATTACAGTCGCAGAGGGGCCTTGTCTGACATTGATGTTCTGTGGAATTGTTTATCTTCAGCCGGGAACACCAAGGCCCAGCTGTGAGTGTCAGGCCAGATCCTGGAGGCCAGGCTTTTCTGTCTCTGAACTTGAAGGCAAAGAGGGAATGAGCCATGCTGACATCTAGGGGAAGAGTTCCAGCCACAGGGGCAGGGGGCAGTGAGCCTTGAGGGCTGAAGGACCAGCCAGACCCCAGGGTGACTGCGATAGAGTGAGCAAGGGGGAGAGGTAGGAGGACAGGGAGGTAATGGGAGGTGGTACAGAGCAGGGCAAGACTTGCAGAGTAAAGACTGGTTCTTACTCTGGAGGAAATGAGGGGCCTCTGGAGTATTCTGAGCAGAGCGGTGAATATGACTGGCGTCATTAGCAGGCACGATTTTGATGGAGTGTTGGGGCAAAAGCCTGACTAGAGCGGATTCAAGAGCGAGTGGAGGAGAGGGAACGGAGACAGCAAGATGAGAGTTCTTTCCAGGAGTTGTACTACAAAGTGGAGCAGAGATGGGAGGAAGCTGAGGTAGCTGGTGGGGAAATGGAATCAAGAGAAGATTTTTGCTTTGTTTCCCTTTAAGATGAGACCAATAACAGTGAGCTTGAATGCCACTGGGAATGATCCAGAGGAGAGGGTGGTCTTGACTGGTGTCAGTAGGAGAGGCCATAACTGCAGGCGAAGGGAGACAGGCTCCAGTGCGCTGGTGGCGCATGGCTGGGTGGAGGAAGACCATGGTAATGGGGAGAGGTGAGGGGGGCCGAGGCAGCCTGGGAGACTCCGTCATCAGAGGTTCTCTTCTGAGAGCCTCCTTCCACGCCTCCCCTGCACCTCCTGTTAGTAACCTTGCCCCCAGGCCATGAGAGCAATAGTGTCTGCAGAGCACTTGGCACCTAACCTGGCCTTGGTGTGGTGACAGCACCTGCAGCTCCACAGACCCCAAAAGGGACCAGAGATGGGGACAGAAAGGGGAGGAAACTGAGGGAGAAAAATCAGCAAGGGACCAAAATCCAGAGTCTCTTACAGACCTGGGGCACAGGCAGTGCAGCAGCTCCTGTGCTGTTCATAGTCTGAAACCTCAGGGCCAAGTTTGATTCCCTGCTTTACCACTTGTCAGCTGTGTGACCTTGGTCTGGGTACTCTCTGAGCCTCGAGTTCCCCAGCTGTAAAATGGGACACTACTAACCTCCTCTCAGGAGTGTTGGAAGAATTAAGGAAGACAACACACATAAAGTGCCGGCGGGTGCCAGACAATGAGCCAGATTCTTTCCTTCCTCCTCTCCTCACCTCCCACCCCCACAGCCCTGAGGGTGCACACCGGCTACCATAGTGGCTCTAAGGATGGATGCAGGGCCCCGCCTGCTGGCTGACTCTGGAACTGCACCTCTCTCCTGTTCAGAAGTGGAAGCCTCGGAATCCAATTCCCGCTGCGGACAGGCAGTGATTTTATTTCACGGCAACAGATCCCATACCAACTCAGTAGGTGAGCACTCCAGAGCCTTCCCACCACCCCCACCATATGCTGGGGGCTTTAATCCACCCCCATCCTTTGCTCCTGCAGCTGCCCCTGCTTGGAGTGCCCTCCCTTCCACCACTTGAAAACATCAAAGGTCACCCCTCTGAAGCTGTCCATGACCCTCACCCCTTAGCGCCCCCAACCCTCCTGTAGACAGAACTACTGCGGAACTTTCTCTTCGGGGACTTTCTCTTCTGTATTCTCGCAACATTTGGACTTAGCTCTAGATTGGCTGTGTGAGAGCAGTAGAACACCTGTCTCCCCTGCTTAGAGGAGACTCACCTGAGGTCAGAGGCTGCCTTATTCGTCTGCTGCCAGAGGGATTTTCTAACATCTGAATGTGACCAGTCACTGCCCCTGCCTGAAATCTCCCCAAAGAAGTCTCCCCCAGTCTGGGTGAGGGTGTGTGTGTGTGAGATGTGTCTCTGAATTTTCCAATATTTCCACATGAGTATGTCCACTAATTTTTTTTTTTTTAAGTGAAGGAAAAAAATCCTTCAGTGGCTTCCTAGTACTTTCAAATTCCCCAGCAAAGCTTACAGGGTGGGATCTGGCCTCTGCCTTTCTGACCCATCGCTCCTCCCACCCACCAGACATCCCACAGCCTCCTTCCACACCTCCCTCACACTGGTTCCTCTGCCTGGAGAACCTTGGTCCACATTCCTCCACACAGCAAATCCCTATTTGTTCTTCAGTGCTCGGCTCAAATATCATCTCCCTAAAAGACTGCCTGACCTCCAGGGTCTTGCTCATCTCTGCTGTACTCACCCTGTCCATCCCCCGATTAAAGCTCTCAGCCAGGCCATCGTAAGTGTGGGCATTTCCCTCTCGAAGGCAGGCCTCTTGTAGGCAGGGGGAGCGCACGCCCGTATGCTCAACTCATGCATGCTTAATCCATATTAGTTGAAAGTGAGTCCCCACTGCCATGGTTTGTTCACAAGCAAAATGAAAGATCCAGACAAGATCTCATAATCCTTCTGACTCTAAAATTCTATGATTTGCAGATAATGTAAGCATATTTTAAGCAAGCTGTCACCAAACAGCTGATCCTCAGCCAGGATCACCTGGGGAATGGGCTGGTTCCTGTCAATAAGTGTCCTTCTCCACAGAATGCATCACCCTTTCCTGCTCTGGGGAGGGGAACATGGGTCCCCTGGTCCCTCCTTAGCAAATGGCCCATCAGGGGACATAGGACTCTGGGAAAACCAACAGTTGCTTCTCATCCAGGGTGGGCCTGTGTCCCAGGATGGGGAGAGGCTGTGTCCCTCAGCAGCATCATGCTCACCTGGGCAATAACCACTTGCCAATCCTTGTGGTGAAGGGAAGGGGCTTCTCTCTCTGTGGTCATCATCTAGAGCCGTATTAAGGGCGAGCAGCAACTGAGCCCCTTTGGCAGTGCTCATCTGTGAGGGCACTAAAACATGATCAGAATAAATCAGAAATATGGTGCCAGGTAAGCCAGGATTCCACAAATACATGCCTCCTTATGTCATGTGACTACCAATTCAGCCAGTCCTTCTTCCACTACAGTCAACTGGGCCCTGGAAGGGAAAGATACAGCTTTGCCGGCCCCGCTATTGAGCTTTCTTTGAGACACCAATGCAAGTTTCACTCTGCAACTCAAATTCTGAAACCAAATAATGCATGACATAATCTCTCTCAGAGGAAGGGTTTATTTTATTATCTAAACTAGATCTAAATCCTTTAATATATCTTCCAATAAGTTTTCCATTTAGGAAAGAAAAATTTTTTTAAACTCCAACACAAACACCTAGTACAAACAAATACAGCTACAGCCTACCCAGCACAATGGCGTGCCACCCATGGGCCAAGCGTGTTCTCCACCTTAACTCATCCTGGAGGCTGTGTAAACCTGTGCTCAGGCTCTGGATTCCGATTGGAGTTTCAATCCTGGCTTCACTACAGTGGGATCATAGGGAAATTTATTTCGTCTTTGAGCCTGTTTTCTCATCTGTAAAATGGGGATAAAAACAGTATTCCTCTTAGGGCTATGTAAATCACATGACATGCTGTAAATTGTTGGCAGGGCAGGTAGGTGCTCAGTGCGACTGTTAACCAGCACTAACGGTAACCTTCACCACGAGGAAGGTACCCTCATCAGATGAGGACGCTCTTTTTTACAGTAGCTGGCAGTGAAGTCCATTTCTCATATAGCTGGGGTTTTATGGGTCTCTGTTCTTCAGCAGGTGCTCCTGCCACGAGTCCACACTCTCGACCCAACGGCTTTGGAACCAAGTTGGCATCTTATTACAAAGCCACCTGTGTAAGTCTCACCACACACAAAGTGCACTTCCTGCACATAAGGTTCTAGTATGCAAGACACATCCATTCAATACAAACTCTGGGGCTGGCCCCATGGCTTAGTGGTTAAGTGCGCGCGCTCCGCTACTGGCAGCCCAGGTTCAGATCCCGGGCGCGCACCGACGCACCGCTTCTCTGGCCATGCTGGGGCCGTGTCCCACATACAGCAACTAGAAGGATGTGCAACTATGACATACAACTCTCCACTGGGGCTTTGGGGGAAAAACAAGGAGGAAGATTGGCAATAGATGTTAGCTCAGAGCCAGTCTTCCTCAGCAAAAAGAGGATTAGCACGGATGTTAGCTCAGGACTGATCTTCCTCACACACACACCCAAAACAATCCCAACTCTGGCTGAGAGCCCTTCCAGAGGTACTCAACTACAGCTTCCTTTGCTCCTGTGCCACCTGAGCTATAGCTCAAATGCATGCAGCTGTAACTAGAAATCGAGTGACCAGGTTTAAACCACGCCCACCTCAGGACAAGTGCCCCAAAGCCCAGTCTCCCCTCGTCAGGTCTGCAGTTCTGCCTCCTGATGAAGGGCAGCAGGCACCTCTTAACCCACTTTGCTTGGTGAGGCTTCAGTCTGGGGACTGGAATCTCTAATTAGAATTTCCTCATTCATCAGAGGGCATCTTTATTTGTGGTAATAAAATGGGGACAGAGCATCACCTCCCAAGCCCAATAGCTATATGTTTGACAAACATTCCCTAATGGCAGTGGGAATCAGTGACGGCAACTGAATCACAGACCGCACCAGAGTGACAAAAGTTACGTTTAATTTACAATGTAATAAAGGTTACAGGTAAAAAGCTACACATAAAGCGTGAAAAGGCCTATTACACAAATGTACAAATCTCTGTACAAAGCTCATATCAATGTTTCCTACCTTCGTCTCCTATGTTTGTTAGCCAGGTCTAGTCGTGGAGCTCTGGATAACGAGAGCTCTCAGTAAGGGTGGGGCGCGGGGGGAGAGCCTCCGAACCAACACGTAAAAATGTCCTCTTAGAGACATCGGTTACTTGCAAAGTAAAATCTTTTCCTTTTTAATTGGAATTGCTCTCAGTGGTCATATCCTTAACAAATTGCCTTCATAACACACTTGAAAAGGAAAGCAATGCCTTAGAGAGTAGAGGACAGTACTCGGGAATCGAATGAGAAACCTCGGCAAGTAGAGGACTCAGGTTTGATAAGAAAAACAGGTCAAGTCAAACAATACTGTAAATTTAAAACTATCAACCTGTGTCTATGGCACTGGTCACAGACGAAGGAAAATCAAAATGTTCTCATTCCAACAGAGAGGACAAAAGAGAAAAGCCTAACTACTGGATCTCAAAACCACTGACCCAGGAAAACATTTCTGAGTTTAAACCTTAGTTTAACTAAAGAATTCTACACTCTTTTTGATCGACCTGGGATCCGTGGCAACTCTTGTGCTCTCTGGGACTTGCAGAGAGAGTAAATATAAATTAGGCTGCTGGACCCACAAGGCTGGTGATACTACTGTCACCTCCACAGCTCTGGATTCAACCTGAGGGCCTAGAGTTTCTCCCCAGGGCATGTGACTTGAAATAAAAACGATCCTAGAAAGGGGAGAAAAGAAAAAGGAGGTAATGAAAGACCTGGGAAAGAGCCAGGGCAGTATATTTAAAAGGATATATGAAACCTCTCTCTACACTGCAAGTGTTCTGAAGACAGGTCTTTATGGGATATTTCAACCCCACCCCCAGTTTTAATATTACATGGTTAGGACCCCAGGAGACATTCTGAAAGACGATACTGCACACATGGAAAGTTTTTCTCCCTAGTTCATTAGCTCCCCCATCACCCTTCCACCCAATTCCCACCCAATCCCACCCTTCTCCATGACCAAAAATATCAAATCAGTAAGGAAGGTGTGGGCTTCTTGCCCGGCCAAGCCTCTTTTGCATATTTCTTCTTTTTGGGTTCGTTGACAGCTTCGGGGTTATAGACTGCAGGGTTTGGTGCAGGGTTCATGGTCACTGCTGACGGCACAACGGGAGTCAAGTCCACATCAGGGGCGAGGTTCGGGTAGGGCATGGGCAAGCCACCGATGAGTGCTGTCCCATGGATGCCGTGCGGCTGCGAGCCGGCTTCACTGTGCGTGGGGGGCAGGCCCCCGTAGAGTCCTCCGCTGAATGCAAAGTTCTGCATGCGCCTGCTCCCTGATTCTTCCAGGCCCAGGGAGCCAGGGCCCTCCACCCGTTTCTTCTGTGGTTTACAAGGAGCAGAGGAGACAAGAGGAGGGCACAAGAATGGTGTTAGTTAGCTTTTTCTATTCCAGACCTAGAAAAACTGGAGAAGCCCCCTAAACATCTAGCATCTTTTGTTTCCCAAACAACCTACTTCACTGTCCTGCAATCTCAGGGTTTGAAGAGACCTTACAGTGGTCGTCTACATCCCAAACACTGCTCCACACTGTTCACACCCTACGTCACACCGAGAAAAATGAAGACAATGTGTGAGCTTTCATAAAGTAAAACTTACCCAGTTCAAGTAACTACTCTTTATCCTAAGGTCAAACCCCACTCCCTCTCTTTTCTGATGTTAAAATGCCCGTTTAGGAAACAGAGGTGATAATAGGTGGTAGCAGGTATTTAAATTTTTCTTTTTTGGGAGGAAAATAAAAAGTTAGTATCTTCATGTTGGAGACTCAATTTTTAAACATTACTCTGAGAGCAAAACAAATCTGTGACTGAAAGCAGTTTACTAGTTGCCTGGGGCTGGGAGTGGGAGGGAACTGACAGCAAAGGGACATCAGGGAACTTTCTGGGGTGATGGAAATCTTCTATATATTAAGGATGGTGGTGGTCACCCAGGTGTATACATTTGTCAAAACTCAAACTGTACACTTAAAATGCTTGCATTTTATTGCATGTAAATCATACCACAATAAAATTGACGTAAAAGTAAAAACACCTGCCAGTTTTGTACTTTAATGACAACAGAACATTCCAAAGGAAGAAGAAAAAAAGAGAGAAAAGAGCTCAAGGGGAAATGTGGCATGAATACTATGGAGCTGCACAGTAAAAGTTTCATCTTGTACTTTTTCACACTGGACTAAAGTTCATGAAAGATCCCCCTCACCTCT